AACAATGGGAAGAAAATACTGAAGAAACATGTGCTACAAGGTCTCCGAGCCTCAGTTATTTTGATAGTCTATCTAAGCTCAGCTTTTCTCTAGGTTATCAGAAAGATAAATTATTCATCTGTTTATATTGCAAGGTTAACTGTGAAAGCTTTCCGCTCTTAAGTAACCCGTCCACAAAATCTTAATTTCCTTTGCAATGCTGTCATTCCCATGATGTCCAGCAAAATTTTATTTCTTTGTTGATAACCCAAGACAGGATCTTTAAGGATATTTGTGATCAGCCATTGGTGAATCAACTTGAACACCACAGAGAACTACAAAGCATTAGGCTTTTTATAGGCAAGATGTCCCTGCAGAGAAAGAGCAACTAAAACAACACATCTTCAGAGCACAAGTTCATTCAGCTCTTCAGGTAAGACTCACCATTTCTCCAAGTAAAACTCTACATCCAGCTCTTCATTAGCCTTTGAAAATAGAAGTTGAATATAGGTGACCCTTGATTTTGAATGTAATTATGATAAGTTTTTCCAAGAGATTAAGCTTTCTTCCCATCACAAACTATAGTAAATATTTTTGTTGCTTTGACAAAAGCTCCAGTTAAATTTTGGAAGGTTTAAATTTATGCCTTTTGCTATTTTCTTTGAAGACTCCTCTCCTCCCAGACATACCCCATATGACCAGACACATTTACGTTTGAGGACATAAGTGCACACAGTGAGAGTTGGGTCTTAGATCCATTGCTCTGCTAATGAGTTAAAAAACCTCCTTTGGCTCAAGCACCACTGCAGCACCATCTCTGCAAACAGCCTCTACATGAGGCTTTGTGCTTCCTCCCATTTGTTATTTCAGCAGATTGCCTTCTTAGCTGATTGCTGTCTTTGTCTTGTGCAGACATTGATCTACCCATCTTTTTCCCTACCATAGCTTACAGTAAATTCTTGATACTGCACCTAATGCAGCTTTTAAAATACTGAAGTAGAAGCCAATTTGGGTAACAGTCCTTACTGAACTTGAAGTTTCTGGTTCCATAATTACCAATCAAGATGGTTTAAGCATTCAGCAATCAAGACAGAGTTAGTGGGAACAAGTGAGTTACTAAGCCTTTTTCCATGAACACAAATCGTTTAGAGTGCCTGTGACACTGATCAACACCTCCCTGCTAACTGCATACCAGCTAGTCTGCTTCTGACTACACCAACAGCACTGAAGCCCAGTTTCTCAAGAAAACACATCACTAGATCACCTTTAATCCAGACCTATTGTAGCACTGTGTTTGAGGGAGTTAGAAAAGAAGATCAGACCAGTGACATGGCTTTAGCTATGTAAAACCAAGCTGTCTTGTTGCAAGTCCATAAACAAGTGCACAAGGACTGAGAGCAGCTCATATGCACTAATGTAACATACATGAAGCAGAGGTTGAAGGTAACTGAACATAAGTCAGGGAAAATAAGCTTCTCTTAGGCATTGCACTTGTTAAATATAGAGGTAACACTTGCAGCAACAAGCTTCTCCACTGCAAAGTGATGATATAAGAGAGTATGCAGTCCACACAACAACTGCTGACTACAGAGGCCTTTCATTTTAAGCCCAGTTTATGCCCCTATAGTCTCCTGAAAAATCAATTCCCTTTAAAGGTGTTTTAATACCTTCTGAAAGACAGCAGTCTCATGTAGCTGGGTATCCCAAAGACCGTGGAACACACACACAAATCACTAGGGATTTTAGAAACATCTCAGTCAACAGTAAAATCATACAAAACATAAATGTATCAGGGGTCATCACTTCCTGATGCTTTTTCCCCTTCTGGCTTCTACAACAGAGATAAATCGACCAGAATGCACTACATGATTTCTGTGATGATGAGCTGCAGCTATTCACAGCTGACCCGGGAAGAAGCCAGGGACTAACCTCAGGATTCAGCTTGAAAGTGCGCAGCAGGGGCTGACCCAACTTCATGCCCGCTACATCAAAGACAATAGATGTAAGCTCATCGCTGACGAGGACATCCTTATCATAAAGTGTCAATTCCAGAATGTTCTAAAAACCAAAGAGAACCAAACAGCCTCGGATGAAAAGACAAAAACACTTCCACAAACCTGAGCAGCTGTATACAATAGACATGTTATGCATTAATCAATACCTTTCCCCTTTCCCACTCCTGAATTCACTATTTCCAGCAGGGCTTACAGCATAGTTAAGCAAAAAGCTCCTAGTTGACAGCGTTTAGCTAGAAGATTTTCCGAGGCACATGGCAGTACTCTCCACCAGCTTCAGGCACAGATTTCAGCATGATTCAGTCCAGGATGAATAGGGACCTATCACTTCCTGCTCAGCACTGTCACAAAGCAGGTAAACCCAGCAGTAACTAACTGAAATAGACACAGTGAGTACATATGGCACCCACAAAAAAAGGCCATGTAGCAACTAGATTTCATGGAAACAAGACTGAACTTAGAATTGTGCTGGCACAGTCTTGCAGCAGTAACTAGACTGAGACCTCATGAACCCACAGGAGAAGAAAATGCTCTCACATTCTAGAGCTTAGTCTGCAGTTTTCTTATCATTTAAGTCAATCACCATTCCACTTCTGTCACAACCATTATGGAAAGGTACTCCAGGGAGGGAGACAGTTTCTTGTTAACAAACACCTTATTCCAAAGACTAGGATGTTATTCAAAGCAATAATGCCAGACTAAAACTAACCTTTTAAAGTACAGTTTCCTATCATTAGTGTCTACCTTGAGAACAAACACTGACAATCTGAAGACTTTATTCAATATTCTATGAATCCTGCTCAGACAGCAGACAGACATACTGTCTCCAATAGTTTGAATTTTGCTTTTCTGAATCAGAGGAAGTGAAGGCAGAACTTGACCGAATGAACTAAGTGGCAGTGTTTGAAATATAGTTCCCATTATCCTCACTCAGCCACTTGGCTGTGTAAGGTAAGTAGAGCTACAAGAAGGCAATAGCTACTCCATGAAAGTAAAAGCAATCCTCAGATAGGAACTTGCTTTGTCAAGGAATTTCCTTGAACTCTATCAAGTAGTGCCATGACTTCCCTTTCCTGAGTTGTATCACAAGGATGTTTATGGAAAATTCTAGCTGCAATTTACACGAGAGTGCAGGTACAAACTGCTGTGGTTATCACTGTACATGCATATTGCAGCTTTTTGTATCACTGAATAAGACTGACGCCATACAAGCAACAGTGGTTTTGAGGGCAATAAAGTTCCCTTGGTTTTGAATGAAGTATAAAAATTAAGCCAGTGCACAGAGCCCAGCCAGCTCCACTCCTTACCTTGACAGCAGTATGGATTCGATACTGGAAAGTTTCATTCCATTCTGGGTTATCGGAGTTGTCAACAACCTGAGTTCGGAAGACTGTAGGAGATGCAGTGGGCAGCTTTAGTTCCACATAGCAGTCTGCCTTGGACACTAGAGCAGAGAATGTAAACAGACATCAGAACAACTTCAATCAAACATACTCTTTCCTATGAGCTCCTCATTTTCTACATCTCATTGCATCATAAAATGTGCAAATCGAAGGCTGGACTTGTAAAGCAAAAGCCTTTAATGAAGTACACATCTTTAAAAAGCAGCAAATTGAACACTGGGTACCTACATACTTTTTGGTTCATCCAAACCATAAAGCTCTTCATGAAAGAAACTACTGTTCAAAAGGAGAAGATCAACTTTTCAGAAAAAGATTACTGCTGATATCAGGACCATTGCCTCTTGTTCTTTCACTAGGCATGACTGAAAGAGTCTAGGTCCATCTTCTTAACACCCTCCTTTCAGATACTTGATCAATAAGATTCCCTGAGCCTTCTGTTCTGCGGCCTTTCCTCGTGACAGATGCTCCAGCCTGTTTACAGTATTAGGGGCTCTTCACTAGACTCTTTTCAGTAGCTCCAGTATCTCTCACTAGTGGAAAGCCTTGAACAACTGGAGCGGACACCCTACTCCAGATGCAGCCTCACCGGTGCTGCACTAGTGACGAGCAGAGGGGATGACTTTGCTTGTCCTTTTGGCAATGCTCATCTTAAAGCAGTCCAGGATACTGTTACCCTTCTTTCCAGGAAGGGCACATTGCTGGCTTATGGTCAGCTTGCTGTCCACCAAGACCCCCAGGTCCTCTTCTGCAAAACTGAGGTACACTTCACCCCATCATCCAGATCATTAATGAAGACATTGAACAATACGGGACCCAGAATTGACCCTTAGATGATACCACTAGTTACTGGCTTCCAGCTAGACTTTGTACCAGTGATCACTACTCTCAGAACTCTGCCATTCAGACAGTTTTCAACCAGACACCCTGTCTGCTTATCCAGTCCATACTTCATCAGCTTCTCTACGAGAATCTTACAGGAGACAGTGTCAAAAGTCTCCAGAAGTCCAAGTAGACAATATCCACCACTTCTATACTCTCTGCTAGTCTGGCTAAGACCTGAGCTTTCTGTTTCCATTTCCTGAAAACAACAGATTGTTTCAGTCTATCTTTCCAGTTTATGCCCCTTTAACAGTTCAAGTATGGGAACCACTCTTTACTTCAGTTGAACAGAAAGGCCATAAAAAGAACTTCTCTTCACAGTGTGATTCTAGGTCTCAACCTTTCAGGAGGGTTTTCCATTCCCCGAATTTAGCATTCTTGTAGTTCAGTGTTGGAATCCAGATATAAACTCTAGGCAGACAAACTACCTTACGGTATTGAATCTGAAGGAATTAAATCCCAAATTAGATTTAAAGATCAAAATGCCCCAAACAGTCCTGGAGGTTTACTCAACACATATGAGTAAAAGGAAGGGAATATATACCATGCTGTCAAAACCAGGAACATGTAAAAAGCAGTTTCTCTTTGAATCAGTCACCCACTTACCTCCTGAAAAGCTTCAATGACATAAACAAAACAGCAGGCATGTAAAAGAAAGCACTACTTCAACTGAGAAAATAAACATTTGGAAGCTAGAACTGGAGACTGCTACTTCCAGGCGCAAGAAGACTTTAGCAGGAGCTGAATCAGACAAAGGAACACAGAACAGGCCATAGTAGGACATGTAAAGGAACAGGGAAGGAAAACATCACCAGACTTACCTGATATTGTTCTGCAAAGTAGCAGAGTTAATCTGTAGCTTGGCATCACATCAGACTCTACACTATATCTACCTAAGAAGTTCCTGTAACAATGCTTTGTCACAGGTATACACTGAACAAACTACCTGTTTTCATAGTATCTTTACTAAATACTTACACAGATCTGTACCCTTGATGTTTCTGGCTCGGAGAACTTTTACCGTTAGGTTGTAGTAAGGGTGCTTCTCCCACTGGAAAGAAAAAGAGCAAGCTCAGCACGTAACCCAACTGCAATGCCTGTTTTATAACCACACTAGTATCAGTCCAGAGGAATGGATCATACCAGCCAGCCCAAAATAAGCTATTCATGAGTCAGTTTTGGGAACATATGCAGCACTTTTGGTGTCCTGGAGGAAGACTAAAGGAGTCTAGAAGTAAACTCCATTCCCTTTCAGCACGACAAGTGATGTCTTAGGGTAACTCCTCATAGACTTTAGAAAATAAGTCCCTTATTTAGGGTTTTCTCTACTTATAGATCAGTTTTGCCTCATTCCTACTGAAGGATGAGCAGATACCGAACATGCTCAAATAATTTTAATCATGCCTTGGCTAGTTTAAGACTACTTGCCAAGGGCACATGCATGCTTGAGTAATAGCAGACATGGCAAGAATCTTAATAGCATGGTCTAAAGACATAGAAAGCACACACTGTTCACAATGAGGGAAAACCCACTTTCTTGTAAGAACACATACTTCCTGGCAGTTTGAGCAAAAAGCAAACCTTAGATTCCTTTTCATTCTGGGCTGTTGCTGGTATCAGCACTCTAAACGTACACACCACTTTATCAGCACAGACCAAACTGTAATCCTTGCTCTTGAAAGCTTCTGGGAAGCTATTTTTTGAAAGTAATATTAGTATCTAAGTGCCCTGATGTGAAGAGGAAAGAAAAATAGTCTGACTAGAATCTAGAATCCTAGAAGATCATGAAGGACAAGTTGGGGGAGGGCAGGGGAAGACAAGAGAAAACAGCTTGAAGGGATTTAGTGCTGAGACTGCAGAGAACCAATTGTGTAAGGTTTATGACCTGAATGGGATTCTGCGTGTTTCCATCAGCTGTGACACAATCCTGGCCAGCTAAGAATTTCTTCTATTCTTAACTCCTATTTCAAAACGCTTTTCATAAGTGGTTGCTATTTCATGTTCATTATTTTCTAGATGGTTGGCTTGAGACCAGATACACTCTGTATTCACCTACAACTGAATTCAACAGGATCTCCACTTACAACGAAATGCTGCAGGCCCTACATATCACTAGCTAGAATCTCAAGGAAACAAATGAACCCTGGACTCTCAAACTCTTTTCAGTGTTCTTTATCTGACAAATGGAACTGTACTATGTTTGTTAAGCAGTCACTTACTTGTGGAGTTTTCCTTATTACTTTAGCATACTTGCCAGCTTTTGGAAAACAGGGTTTGAACAACACAATAAAACCAGACATACATAGTATACTGAACATCTGTGGACCGAGTACCATTCACCCTGACCAACAAGCAAAGGGTAAAAACTACATGCATTGTCTAAGATACCTCACACACAGGAGCCCAATTAAATTTGTACAAATAAACTCCAATTATACTATTACTCTTAAAGGGTTCTTATTTGCAACATCAACATGTGAAGGTATTTTTTCCCCTCACTTGTTTCTGGGAACAAGATGTTTCAGCAATAGCTCTACCCTTCAGACTCTAGTTTTTTCTTCTCTTGCAAATCATTACTAACCACCCATATTTTGTTCCATCTCTGACACTAGCTTCTCAAGCAAAGCCTGACCTCCTTTCTACCTCATTGAGTTTGGCAATGGACTAGACAGAAATTCAAGATTGCATATATTAACCTCTCAGCAACTTCCTAAAGGTGCTGCAACTCTTCAGGTTGTTGAGAAATGAAGGCACATAATCACCCCCCCACTGCTATCAAAACAATCTTCACTCATGTAGCCTGACTATCGCCTGGAACTCAGACACTATTAGCAGAGACAACAGAACACGCTGAAGATAGCATGTCCTTTTACCACCCAGCATCTGTCAACATATAGTCATATGTACAAAAGAAAGTCCTTTCCAAAGGTCTCTAACAACCTTTGACTTGCAGTCAGTCATTACACAGCTGAGCATAAATTATGATCAGGGTGTGGAAAATGTAAGGGCACATAACACAACAGACATTTCACTGTGCTCCCAAGTCTGTGCTATCAGTCATGCCAGACCCTTCCTATGTGCCTTTCCTAATTATCTTTTAGCCAAGGAACAGCAAGGTCATAATGAGTTCCAAGCTGAACCTTGCAAACCAATGAAGCGTGAGAGTATTGGATATGCTCTACCTGAACCCATCAGGGAAAAGGCAGGCAAATCTGTATGGGAAATGAACAATAAATAATAACAGATCTGCCTACACCAGTGTACAAGACAGCATACCAACGCATGCAACAGTGCAAGCAACCAACTCCTACTTTGCAGTTTAACGATTTTTCAGAGTCGCTCCTTTTCCAGAGCTCAGAAAAGGGCATTTAAGGCAAAAAAAAAAAACCTCAAAATCCTTAAATGAGTGTATGAGACTTAGATTTTCACACACGCATCCCTGCTAACAACTGTCTGTATCTTTCATCTAAACTGAAGGTGTTGATGCGGCAGCAAACTACAGAACAGGTTATCCCAGTAGTCTCTACCCTCAGATAGCTCAGAATACCTGCCTTTAGAGTGGGATGTAAGTGCTGGCATTCACTCCACATCTCTCAGTGGATGCAGAGGACTCACCATAAGCATGCCAGTTTCATTACAAAAACGTTGTCAACAGCAAACATAAATGTAACTTCTAAGCCACATTTTCCTTCGTATTCAGAGCTACCAAGCAAATCAGGTAGCTCCAAGAAATGTCCAGTTTACCAAGGGAGCACTTTCTCCCCAGTTTGCTTCTGCTGCCAAGTAAACACTGCTGCCTGTAACTCCCTTCCTTGTGGCCAAAGTGCCACAAGTTTGCTTTTAAACCCAAAAGCAAACTCTTGGCTCTCTTAGGCACCCCCTTGCACTTCCCCTTCTCCCACAGAAGTGTGCACCCATAGACATGAGAGGAGATCACAGACCCAGCCATAAGAACCATGGTCTTCTGGAGGGCTAGGTTTATAACCAGTCAGGTGATCTGAGCTGTGCTAACAGCTCAGTATCACAACAGCAGTGGCAAACACTGGGCTTGCTCCCAGTTTATTATTGTCTGTCTTTAGTGTGTGAAACTAAGACCAGACTTCAGAAATTAAAGAGATGTGATCACACTGAATTCACCTACAAAGCCAAAAGGGTGATCTGCTGCCCCATGCCTCACTCAATACAAGATTTCTCCCTACCAGGGAACACAACTTTGCTAAGCCATATTGAATTTTTATTTATTTCCATAGTGAGCACCTGAGGGGAAACATCACATCCAGTGGTTTATGGGTTAATGGAAATAACAGCAGACTAACACTAGTCTCTTCTAACCCAATTTCCCAACTACTAAACAACAACATTAAAAAGAAAGTCAACAAGATGATTTTTAATCACACAGCAAGAAGTGTAGAGATGACATTTAATCGTGGTATTTAACAGTCACCTCAATTTTAAGTTGTAGATTTTAGAGGGGATGGGAGAGGACAGGTAATCAGATGACAGATCAGACCTCCTAGGCAAAGGCTCCTTCACAAACACTTAGTGTAAAACCAAGGTTATTAGCCACACCATCTTATACAGTGGAATGATTATATACCAGTTAAAGGACAAACACAGTGAAACCCCTTTATCTAATGTGGTTGCTCTGCATTATGAACAGGGGGTGATGTCATCATTAATCTTCGTCTCCTTTAGATCATTAAGCCCTATGGGATAAGGTAGAAGGCAGAAAGGAAGGGAATGGTAATCAAGGCTATCTTGAAAGAAAACACATAGGCACTATTTTATCTTCCCCCCCAATTAAGCATCAGCTTAATTCTGTTCCCCAAAAAAGAGACCTGCTCTGCCTTGCCTCACACATGTTCTGAATTTAATAATAAATGAGATCTCCATTAGCATTACTCCTGCCCAAAATTTTCCGCTGATAAACTTCTTGTTTAACTCCTGCAGAAGTGGAGGACTGGTTTTCCACGTGTGCAGTAGCAGAAGTCACTGTCAGACACATTGGCTAAGGAATGCTGTCTTACCCGCCTGTGGTAAAACCCAGTCTCTTTCCTCTCCTTCCTTTGGAAAAGCACAGCTGCCAGAAAAGGAAGGACTCTGGGTGGTATCGTGCCCCGCAGCACCTCATGGAACATGGGAAAAACGTCCCGTCGTCGCCACAGAAAACCTGAGACTGGGAAACACAGAGAATGAAGGGTCCCCAGACACACGGCTGCGAAGGGCTGCGTGCCACAGGCTCGGGCTGAAGTCTTGGGCAGGACTGGGCTGTGCTCCAGCTGCGGGAAGAAGAGGTGTGGCCTGTGTTTGCCAAACAATCCACTTCAAAACCTTGCTGCCAGGTTTTCCAAATACTGGTAAAAGAGAAGGGCAGAAAAGCAGCACCCAACTGGGAAGCTCTGGGTAGGAAGAAGCACCGTTCCATGATCAAGCCACAACCTCAAAAAACCCAGTCCAGATTCAGAGTTCTAGCAACCCAATCTTAGACTCTGGCTGTTTTAAACCCTTCCAGAGTTTCAGCATAGCCTAAAAGAGTATTTTGAAATAGAAAGAAATTGCCATCTTACAAGCCTGAAGCAAAGCCAAACTTCTCATTGACTGTAGCTGTTCGGAGAAGTTTCAGAGAGGCCTGAGTGGCGGCACTACAATTTGGTCTGCATTAGGATGCCTCAGAGAATATTGAATGAACACCATGTTTAACTTCTCACTAAGTAAGCAGCCTGCACAAGTCCCCCCCTTTATTCTCATTTCCATGTAGCACAGACTTGATTCTTCCACCAAAGGTTCTTGAAAAACTGTACAACAGATAGGGAATATATGAGTCTTAATGGGCCTTAAAAATAATACTCAAGTAGTAAAGGAATTCTTTTTATTGGAAGTGATCAGTTTATTAACAGCTGCTGACAGTTGGCTTGTCTGGAGCTTTTTATTAAAGAGCTTAAACTGATGGAGCAGACCAAAAAACAAACTCAAGTGTTTCAACAATTAGAAAGTGGCAGAGAATGTATGAAAGCCAGTAATGCAACATGTCACCAGCCCCACGCAAACATGAGAATGTGACACATTCTCAGCAAGGCCCAATCATTAATCATTTCCTGTCATTAGTGTCAGTCACTAGATCAGAATTTAAGAAAATAAAGAAAAGCATAGGCACCAGCATTTGCAACACAAACAAGTCAGTACTAGTTAGTCAATTCACAGACTTGAGAGCCAATGCACAGGCAAAAAGCACACATAATACCATTGCAAAACAGCCAGCAACTGCTGTAAAGCTCTTACGTAGTACTAAGTAGTATGGTAGAGACTGGGCTGAAAAAGCAAGTTCTTTGCATTTCTATATACCACTGCACTGGAAGTGAAGAACTGTCATATTAGGTTTTATTTATCTGTAGAACTGTAAACTGGATTTATTTATATTTAATCTAATATGTGGCTTGACTATAAATCACAGGAGAATTGAGGCAGCCTCACACAGTAAGCTAACATGGAGAAATCACACTTATTCTGAAGAGTTTACTACAGGCAGCATATAAAGCCTACATTTTATATACAGTGAGTGCCCAATTGCATTTAAAATCAGACTTACCTGCCTTTTCCTGAAGTTTTCTCTTCTTCCACTGAAATCTCAGTAGAGACCTCATGTTTACAGAATTTCTCTTGAATTTCTCAAGAAAAACGGAAAGCTCTCTAGAACATATGCTTAAGAATAGTTTCATAGTCAACAGATCATCCATTAGCAGTGTCTGTGTGCAGTGCTAGCTATCTGCAGACACTGTTGACAACTTCATAACCACAGAAGCTACTTGGTTTTGTCATTTTCTATCAGACTAAGAAAACAAGCAAGCAAATTGGCATCAAAACACGAAGTAACAAAGATGGCCTTGTTCCTGGTAACTACTTCTGCTTGGATTAGCATCCCCATAGTGGTAAAGGTAGATGTACATCTATATTTTATTCAGTTTTATTTTTGTCAGCAAGCATAAACAAATGACACAATCACCAACTGTGCTATACAGTACTTAAAATGTGTGTAGATATCACAAGGGACCCCTGTTGCTCCCATTAGCAGCACTAACAGGAGAGCTGATATGCAGTGCAAAACTAGCAGAGATTAAGATTCTGAAGGATGCTATCAAGGTTTCAGTTGCAGGGAAAAGGGGACTTGGCGGGTTGGTTTTCCAGAAATACCAACATGCTCAACTGTCCAACATGAAGACAAAAGACTCTTCTTCAGTGCTGGTATGTCCCATTTCTACAGAATGGGAAAACTGAAGATTTATATTCTACTTCCAGCACTAGGCTATGACCTACGATTCAAGCAACGGAAAGACCTGTGTATCTAAACATTTCTTGATTTAATCACAGAGCTCAGCATCCGTCCCACCCCAAAGAAGCATGCCACCACTCAAAAAAACTGTCAGTAACTTCAGTGTTCTCCAATAAGTACATATTTAATGGCATAAGATTTTCAAAAACATTATTCAAAGCAAGAATACAAAAGTGGTTTTAGTAGGAGTTTGAGAACATTCACAAGCATACTATAAACTTGTAGATATAAAAAACAAAGTTGAGAAGTGATGACAGTCCTCATATGACATGGCCTCACTTCATTAACAAATATTAAAGCAGGAGTGATACTGGGAGGCCCTGCACTGGGTCTGAATTCCAGGAGAAACGGAGGACTAATAGACAAAAGAAATCTACAGCTGCCCAGAGAAGCTTAACTGCACAATGACTGAAACGCACACTGGTTCACAATATTTATTACAATCTATTGCTTTAGATAAACCTGCAGTATGGTTAGTAAACCCCAACCACGTTGTAAGAACCAACAAAAAAGAAATCACAGCACAGACCACATGTCAAAAAAAGGTATGCAATGAACAGAGGCACAACCTTAACCGTGTACGTAAGAGCACAATGAAGATTCTCTTATGTGAATACAATTCTCCTGGTAGCAGATAATGAGGGTAAATCAGACTACAGTACTAAACATAAAGATAGGTAAAAATAGGAGCAATATTGTTATATCTGTATACAAAGAATACAGGGTATTTTTAAATACCCTTCTTGCGTTCTCAATGACCTGTAAACACAACTCTCTCAAACCATCTTCCCTCTGTACCTGAACTATTATATAAAGATCTATACAGAATGTGCAAATCCAATATAAGTATTTTTTAGGCTCTCTTCTTCAAATAGAAGAAATACAAGGTTAAAAACATTAACATCACAAATTCCCTCTACCTAGCCTCTGCAGAAAGACATCAGCAGCAATACTGCCCAAGACATCCAAGGACAGAAGTAGCAAAACACTGGACCAAGAAATCCACAAGAATGCATGGCATACGAACAATAAATACAAAGACATCTGGAAAGGGAAAAAACAACAGTTACCACGAGAAACTATTAACACTGGCAAATGAAAGTAAATTAGGACTCTTGTCAGCCTACAGCAGATCTGTTCCTAGAAACTACACACATAAGTAAACCTGTAATGTTAACTGAGATCCAATTACACTTTTAGGCAGACAGGCTTTACGTTCTGCTTATTGGTTAAGTGGTATTCTGTTAGTTACATGCCATGCTCCATAAGTACAGGTATTGCTAGATCAGGGATGCTGAGAGTCAAATAGCCACTCTGTTGGACTATTTGCTACTGCTGCCTCTTCATTACCACTATACAGATTCTTTCTGCACCAAACATTTTAATAGCCCTCATACCAATCTGCTATAGATTAAAGTTTGTGGAAAAATAAGTTAGACAAAAATATTACAGCCTACAAGGAGTATGGTACAATCTAGTTCTTGTAGTTAAGACTTCTGGCCCAAGAGTGACTTAAGAATAGTACCAGTCTGAGCAGAACACAGTTCTAGAGCATTTATAATAGAGCCATGATGAAATAGTCTGGAGTTTACTTCAATGCTGGAAAGTGAACCAGAAAACAAAGAACTTATATACACAAATCTCACATGTAGTCTAGAAGCTCAAGCAATAACTATAGTTCACTCCCTTCAGAAGTTGCTTTACAGGGTGTTCTTTGATTTTTGCTGTGAGTGCAGATGTGACCTACTTAGAATAGTCTCTGAGCTTCCACTCATGCTAAAAGTAAACAAATTTAGTGCAAACAACACACAAGTTAATTCAATTTACAGCTCTCAAATTAAAGTAAAAAGAAAAAAATGCTTACTAGTGGTACCTACTGTCTGACTGTCTCCTGTGGAACATCTTATCAGAAGGTCAGGTGAAAACACTGAGTATCAAGAAAAGATTCCTTTGGCAAGCACTTCAACATTCCCATTACTGAGGTGAAAGTAAAATTTTATTTTCTAGGTCTTGAAATAGGCACAGAAGCCTCCTCTATGCCAAACTCCTTGTGATCTCCATGCAACACTGATACAGCTGCAAAGACTTTAAAGGAATTTCCTTTTTTTGAAGAACTATTTACATTCAAGGCCAAATCACAACATCATCACCCTAAGGAAGTAAGTTTGTAGTAAAATTTGACTTGTGCTGAATGCCCAACAGTTGTCTAACAATTCATTCACAAGGTTGGAGTGCAATACAAAACTCACTACAAAAATCAGTTCATCTGAGTACTGAGAGGTTCAGTGTAGTTGCCAGCAATATAATAATACGGTTAAAGTCATCTTCTTGTAAATCAATATTGCTAGCTGGTACAGTCAGTCCACCAATACAAATGACTTCTACCCAGTGTAAAAGAACCTAGCAACAAGCCTCAAAAAATCTCAGAGGCATCAACTCCTTAAGTCATCAGTTCTGAATTTCATATGAACGCTGGGATTATTGACCATGACAAGGTCAGGTATCCAATGTGTTGACTTCTTTGGAGCAGAAATAATGCACAACTCTTGCATTAGGGTATCGAGCAAATGCACTGTGAAGAGACAGAACACAAAAATCAACTGTCAATAAAGACAAACAGTTTTCCTTATTCAAACAAGAACATTCAAGTTGTACAGAATCAGAACAAGATGCATACATGGAAATGATACTTTCTTGTTTGAATTACAGCCCAAATATACATATATATACTCTTGAGAAAGCCAGACAAAAGATTTCTATGGATTAAGAGTTTAATTAAAAAAAACGTTAAAAATATTATCTATCTTCATTTCCATAGGCTCACTTTCTTTGGAATTCACTGCTAACAAGTTAAAGACTGAGTGACATACTGACATGCTCGCCCTTCAAAAATCTTGAACTTAACAGCATTAGAAAAATTCTAGATAACCAAAAACAACACTGCACATGCAAATTCAGAATCCAATGCTACCTGCTATATACCAACAGAAAAAAATTGAATATACACAGCAATAAATATATTTAGACCTATGTTCATTAAAATGTTTTAGAAAAATAACCTTTCCCTATCATTGTGAATGCTACTGATACGACAGAGGGTTCACATCAAGTAGATAAACAACAAATAAGCTAGTCTTGTGGCATTTCACTAGAGTTAGAAGAGGAAAAAGGGCAAAGAAAATATGCTTTCTATACTAATCCATAATTACCTACTAGAAGTGGTAGGTATCAAGTGAATTAGTTCTACTAATAGATGTCTAAGATAATTAGGCTACAAAGTATAAATCAGCCAGGAAACCACAGAGCCATCAGACATAAAAAACATTAAACACGTTTCTTAGTTTGAGATTCTTTATACCATCCTTCTTAATTCTAGTTAAGAAGCAGGTAGCAGGCAGTGTTCATAGAAAGTTTTCCAAATTCACTGGAGAATAAGAAGTGATTTTTCTGCCTTCTAGAGTTGTGAAGTAAGAAGTCTTATGAGTTTCTGAAGAGAATTTTTTCTCCTTTGTTGGAAGCAGGATTAAACTCGCAGTAACCTTCAATGACTAAAGCTCTGATGTTTTTCCAGCCACCCAGCTGAGCAATGTAATTTGTAATTCAAACACTCTTCAAATGTGCCCCTCATACTGCTGTTCTCTCTGTGTATATGCACATTCCGAGTTCTGCAACAAGTTTAAGTGTACCAGATTTATATTTGACTCAGTTTTCCAAGCTTTAAGGTATACACTCTCTCACCTGTTACCTATCTTCTTTTTACACACAGTGCACACCTTCTCCTCTGTAATAATGCACTTCACTTGCTGATGCAAGATCCGCTCCTCCTGGACCTACAGAAAAATAAATAAAAAATTAAAAGAAATTCCTCAAAAAACAATGCCACACCACAGCTCCCTTCTAGTTTGGTTAAACACATGGTTTAAATCAGTGGCTATGTCTACATTAACAAGTTGTATAGCACAAAAGCAGCAGGTCTGTAAAGCAGAGCAGGCAATATCAACCAACACCCACACTATATGAACTGCAGGATTTCACTTTTAACTAGCTTGGTTCACAGACTAAGGCAATCTAACCATTAAGGGGTGTGTTCAAGTTAACTACCGAACTGCATCACCTGCTTTAAGGGTTTTTTTAATATATATATATATATATATATACACATACATATACACACACATACACCCCCCAAAGCACAGTCAGTCCAAAAACTCACAGCAAAGACACACACCTCACCCAAACTAAGGCCAGTGTACTCACCATGCTTGAAAAGGGGACAATCAACCTAATTGATGCACGTGTATGAATTTCAGGTACACTACAGCCCCATCTAGTCATCGTGTATAAGGAAGAGTTTAATATTAAACATCACAGGTGATGGGTACTTACCCTCAGAAACTCTGCATGGAGAAGATTCTTGAGTACTTGATTAAATCTTTTCTTCTGAGCATTTTCTTCAAGGACTTTCTCTAAGAAAATTCGAATCTCACTTATCTGTGTATTTGCTGGGAGTAGGTTTATTGCCTGGCGCAAAATATACTTAGTTAGGAAAAATTAAAGAGGAATAGAGAACAAAGTAGAACAGAGATTGACACATTTAGATTGACACTGCTACATTCTCATCACTTGCTTACTCCGGTACTCTCTGTCACCTTTTGCCAATAGGACAAACAGAGTACTTACAAGTCTTTCTTACCTTGGTGGTATCCAGTTTGCTGTGATGCAGTTCCAAAACCTGCAGAGCAGCCTGCAGATTGGCTTGAGGCTCCAGCACTTCCATCTTGATTGGTCCCAGGCAATGAACACTTGGTGGGGAGAGATACATTCGGAGCAACGACAGGTAGACCTGTTGAACAAAAAAGGAAAGTTCTGAAACCACTACACCACAATTGACAGGGCTGCTGGAACCCAGCAATGGCACTAGTAAATTGTACTCATGCTATTCAAAGTTCTGAAGTGCACCTATCTTAAAACAACAAAAACTGAAAAGTTCCAATGATGTTCAAGGCTTTTGACCTGCATTCTAAAGTTCTTCTATAAATGTAGTTTTAATCACACCTTCCTCATTTATCTTACCTAATTCATTTATAGCTTTTAGAAACCAACATTTCATTGCTTTTTACCATTAACTTTTCTGTAGATGCATGTGGAATATACACACATTATTGTCTTCCAAATTCCATCAGAACTGTAGCTACAGTACACACTCAAGTGATACAGCAACATTCTCAACCAAAAAAAAAAAAACCCCAAAAAACCCCAATTAAAAAAAACAAACCAAAAAGAAACAAAGAAAACAGAATCATCTAATAATACCTAAATTCCAAGATCTTATATATAGGTTCCCACCCACTCTCAAAAACCCTGAAAAAATCTATACAGAACAAAAATTCAAGGACCCTAACAGGCAGGAATGGTCTAGTACATTCTTAATGAAAAGGAAGACTGCAAACATGGAGCTACTTACATCTTTGTTGCCATCTTTGTTTCTGTCATAATGTTTATGGCAGTAGCTAAAACAGAGAAGAATCAAATGAAATGCTGAGACAGTTTTGGAAGCCAGAGAATCAGTCCATAGAAATTAACATTTAAATGGTTTGATTATTAAAGCTATCCAACTTGGGTGACTGTACATCCAATTCTGCACAACAAAATGACACTATTTATTTACTCTGCGTTATAATGCTGAGAAAACAGAGGTTTTGTGCAAGTCTCCCACCTCCACTCAACTTAGAAAGCTTTCATGCAGAAACTAAATTTAATGCCTCTCGAAAGAGAAAGGAGGCAAAACACCACATACAAGTTCACAATCTAAGGACAAAGAAACAAACAAAACAAGAAACCCTTACTTTTCAGCCATGTTGGTGTCCTTCAAAATATGAACATAAATAAACAGAGCTTGCTCATGCTTCCCCATACGACCTAAGAGCAGAGCACGTTCTTCTAGGAGACCTAGTGATAACATCAAGGATTAGTCAATAGCTACACAGAGAAGTGATAACATAAGCTTTATTAGTGACCAGGCCAACAGAAGGAACTACGAAATGTAGTCTGAGCACAGGTTAAAGTTACACTAAGGCTGTATGTCTACTTTACACCAGTTTCAGTAACAGAGGATGATAAGGGGGCTGGAGCACCTCCCATATGAAAACAGGCTGAGGAAGTAGGGGCCGTTCAGCCTGGAGGAGAGAAGGCTGCTCAGAGCACTCTTCCAATATCTGAAGGGGGCCTACGAGGATGCTGGGGAGCATTCATTAGGGACTGTAGTGATAGGACAAGGAGTAATGGCTTCAAACTTAAACAGGGGAAGTTTAGGTTAGATATAAGGAAGAAGTTCTTCACAGTGAGGGTGCTGAGGCACTGGAATGGGTTGCCCAAGGAAGTTGTGAATGCTCCATCCCTGGCAGCGTTCAAGGCCAGGCTGGACAGAGTCTTGGGTGACATGGTGCGAGGTGTCCTTGCCCATGGCTGGGGGTTGGAACTAGATATCTTAAGGTCCTTTCCAACCCAAACCATTCTACGATTCTATGATTTTATGAGTTCCTAAGTAAACTTAAGAAACAACGAACTTCACACCTGTTGAGCAATTCAGGCTTATCAAAAAGTTAGGCTAAATATTTAAGTGATGGGAGATGCCACAAGGTCTTAGGCTAACAGTTAAGGGAACACTGCAGAGACTGGCAAATCCAACTTTGCCAGCAAAACCAATTAGTATATATACCAGTGGCCTACAACTACAGATATAGCCATCTCTGTTTCTAGTTACCATTATTCTAGAGTAAGTGAGGAGGTTTCACTGTACAATGCAATAAGCTAAGTTTTATTTAACCTATGGAAACTGAACTCACCATCAAAGGGGAAGTCACTAATTAGCCGACTTGGCTCATACCAGCTAGACTTCTCCAGAAAAAGTAGAAGCTTCCTCCGGTAATCCCCCAAGTCTCCTCCTTCCTCCCCCGCTGGCACTGGAGTTTTATCTATGTGGAAGAAAGTAACATAAGCTACAATATTACAACCATTTTACAATACTAGTACACACAAGATGATAAACAAATCATTACAAGCAACCAAAAGCTGATGAAGCTGTTACATGGGCTGGGATTCCAGTGCACCTGCCAAATTACTTCAGCTCCTTATATCAAAAGGCTGGTTAAACAATAGACTCACTTATTCAAGATCCTTCCCTACCCTTAATATGCAGAATTCAGGAAGCAGTAGCTGCCATTCCACTTAATCATGAACCAAGTGTCACTTGCTCCCTCTAGGGAAGCAATAAATTAGACTTCCCTATAAACCCACAAATTTTGTTGTTCCTTCATCACTTAGCATATCTTCTGGATGTTAACAGGGAAGGCTTATAGCAAAACACTATGAAGGCTCCCCGGTGCCGTCCCATGCCCCTGGTCTTCCCACTAGAAAAGTCCAAGCATACCTGCAGGGAAAGAATTTAGATATTCTTTCATCAAGGCCTGCACTTTTTCACAGTACAGCTGGATCAGACAGTTGTGAAAGTCTGCACCAGTTTCTTCCCAGACATGAATGATGTGCTCCTGTAAATACATGTTCAGGTTCAGTTACAGTTCCTTCCTCTGGAAAGTATTGTATTATAAGCAAGCAACACTTCAATGCTTGCATTTATCAAGCTTGACTTCAGGATTTCATATACTTTAAGTATTTTTTCCTTGTGCAACTTATGGAAAAGTGAGCATTCCCTGAGAAAGCATCAGACTCCAATGCCTGGAGAAATAAAGCCTTACATGTAACACATTGTACTGAATGAAGTGCATCAGCAGAGATTTAGTTCTTACCAGATAAGGAATAGTCAAGCTTTTAAAATTTTCTATCAAGAAACTGAGCACTTTGTCTCGTGGCAAAGCTTCCACTTCAGGGAGGTCTTCTGTGAATATCTGTTAAACAAAATTTTATTCATGGAATGATGATATTAAATAAAAAAAATAATAAAAAAAAATCATTAAGTGCCACAATGTATTTTCTGAGACACTGAAGCCCAACATATTGTCACTCATGTCCAAAGAGTAAGCACAAGAAGTACAAAAAATTCATGCACTCAGAAGCTATCTCACATCTGAAAGGATTAACAAACATCCCCCCTTCCTCCTTAGCTAACGCTCTTCTTTTACAGGGCCAAATACTCCCAAATACAAGGAGTCAATTCTATATCAAAGAACAGGAAATAAGAGAAAGAAATTAACATTTGACATTTAAATAGTCAATCAGGCACTTGTGCAAAAAGCGTGACACCAAGAACATTAAATGTTGTAGCAAAGGTTCTTAGCTACATACTACAACGAAGGTATTCCAAGAAAGGAAAAGCATGAGAAAAACTGAAAGGCTGCCCATGTTACTGAACATAGAAAATAGAAATTATATACTTATATACACTTATGCTGGAGAGGGACTCTTCATCAGGGACTGTACCGATAAGACAAGGGGGTAATGAGTTTAAACTAAAACAGGGGAAGTTCAGGTTAGATATAAGGAAGAAGTTCTTTACAGCGAGGGTGGTGAAGCACTGGAACAGGCTGCCCAAAGAAGTGGTAAATGCTCTATCCCTGGCAGTGTTCAAGGCCAGGTTAGACAGAGCCTTGGGTG